ATTCACATACCAGCCTTACTTTGTGTCAAAGAACTAGAATTTCCTTGTTGAGAAGTCTCTGACTTAATAGCAGCTGCTGGACCCTTGCTGTTTTGGAAAATAGCTGGCTTAAGAGATTTGTCATCGATTTCTATTTGTAAAAAGCTTGTTTTTCCATCTTAATGTGTCATCAAGACACTGCTTCCACAAGCCAGGCCAACTTCATAATGGTTCAGCTGCAGCACCATGAAATTAAAAGAAACTTCACTGAAATGGAGACTTGGTCTGACACCTCCTGCAGTCCCTAGGACTCTAAGTTGGACTTCTGATGTAGCACTGGATTGTAGCATATGCTTGTCCATCAGTTAATATGTTTTCTAATAAGTCTTTGTCCTGTGTTAATTGCTTCCAGGAATTTGTGGAATAGATGAATTTGATAAGATGGGAAACCAGCATCAGGCTTTGCTGGAAGCCATGGAACAGCAAAGCATCAGCCTTGCCAAGGCTGGCATTGTTTGCAGTTTGCCAGCTCGGACATCTATTGTTGCTGCAGCAAACCCAGTTGGAGGACATTATAACAAAGCCAAAACAGTGTCTGAGAACTTAAAGTGAGCACTTTCTGAAATGCTGCTTATATATTCACATTCAGGAGTAGATGCTTCTGGCAGTCTTGTAGTTTGCATATAATTGCTCTCTAGTTTCCTGGAGCTTGAACATAAACTTACTGTAATAATTTCTTATGGCTTTTAAAAGAGAAATCGTTGTTCTGCTTTATTCTGAATGAATGGGACAGGATTTTTTAAGTGTCTTTGAAGTGGAGCAGAGTTGCTGTAGTTTTTTCACTTCTCTGAGCGCTGTGTGGTTTTCTTGTCTTTACTCTAGAATGGGGAGTGCTTTACTGTCGAGATTTGATCTAGTTTTCATTTTGCTGGACACCCCAAACGAAGATCATGATCACTTGCTGTCTGAGCATGTGATGGCAATTCGAGCTGGAAAGCAGGCAGCATGCAGCAGCGCTGTTGTGACTCGAACCAACACACAGGATCGCTCTGTGCTTGAAGTTGTTTCGGATCGACCACTGCTTGAAAGGCTAAAGGTAGGACCCATCCTGTGACTGTTGGTAGGACCCATCCTGTGGTGTTCCTTGCACTGGGACCTGGCAGCCCTGACCTGCTGGATGTCCTCAGTCTCCCGCTCCCATTCTTCTCATGATAATTGGCTCTGAATTAAAGAGGAACCATTTAAGGCTCCAGCTACCAGTTTCTACCAATTGTTGTAGCTAACATTGCCCACCCTGCTGGAGCTGCTGAAGATGCATCTCAAGCCGTCTTAAATTCTCTTCTGTGTGGAGATTATTAGCTCAGCTGGATGTTTTTTCAGTTGCGATAGTGAGAAGACACTTTGCATGAGATGCTCTAAAGCAAATTTGCTGAGTTAGATTTCAATAAAGAGCTACAGGACTAGACTGGATGTAATAATTTGATATAACATGATGTGCTGTGAGGTATTGAATCCCAATAAAGCAGAGTGTAAACAAATCCTTGGGCATCTGCAACTCATGACAAATTTGGGGATTATAGGAGGGGAAGCATATTTCTTATTAAACGTAAGTGATCGGTTTGAGGGCTGATATTGTCAAATGTCAGGTCTTGGGAGAAACATCCTCTATGGGGGCTAAACCCATGCACTTTTGGAAATGGGATATCAGCGGTGATGGTTTAATCTTCTCTGGAGCTGTATCTTGTAACAATTAGGAAACTGGATTTTCTCTTTTTGAGAAAGAGTTCTTGATATAGTTAAATCATATTTAGCACTTCTTACCTTTTGCAAATGAGATGCTTCGGCTGCTTTTTCTGAAGTGGCGAAGTGTGTTTAATTACATGGCTAAGCACAGTGTGTGGACTTTAAGTATGTGGTTCGTATATGAAGCACTAAAGCCCTTACAGTGAGGATTTCACCAGATAACATAAAATCTTCATCTTCTATGCTTCAAAATTTGTATTGTATAGGGTTCTGACAGACAGAAATCTAAGCTCTTTGTAATTGGGTTAGATCTTACCAGGAGAAACCTTTGATGCCATTCCACATCAGCTGCTAAGGAAGTACGTTGGATACGCTCGCCAGTACGTTCACCCAAATTTATCTCCAGAAGCTGCTCAGGTCCTCCAGGAATTCTACCTTGAGCTCCGGAAACAGAACCAAGGTGTAGACAGCACACCCATCACCACGAGGCAGCTAGAGTCACTGATTCGACTTACGGAGGTAAATGCAAGCTGTAATACTTAAGGGATTGAAAGCAAAGAGATTATTCCTAAACTACTACTGATATCCTGTCATTTTCGACAGTTTATTCACTGCTCTGCTTTTTTTGTTGTGTTTCAAAAAAAAAAAAAGACTTACAAATGCTTAAGAGCTACTGTTGCTTAAAGCCTCTTACAAAGTAAAACACCCTTGAGGGAGTGGAAAGAGAATCTATCACATTCTCCCAAAAGGAGAAAAAGTAGGTGCAGGCAGGAACAAGCTGCTGCCCATCTTGAACTTAAACTGCTGCTGTTTTCCCTAACCTTGTGCCTCAATAACACTGTTTGTGATCTACTGCTTCCCAAGAATACGCTGTTAAGAAGCAAATAAACTCCAAGCTACAGCCTAATAATGCGAGTATGCAGGAGATGACATTGAAACTCTATCGAAAAAATAAAGGAATCTTCCTTTAAATCCTGTAGGCTCAGGTTCCATCTCTGGTCCTAAAACGTGCTTGTTGTAGAGCAATTGCGGCCTTTTTTCACATCAGTTGATATATCTTAAATATACCTTTGTGGGGTTTTTTTGTTTTGTTTTAAGGCACGATCAAGGCTGGAATTAAGGGAGAAATCTACCAAGGAAGATGCTGAGGATGTAATAGAAATAATGAAATATAGGTAATACACACTGATTTAAAAATAAATAAAGCATTATGGTGCTATTCATTGAAAGACTTTTTTTTTTAATACAGATATTTGAACGCAGTGAAGAAATTATTTATCACATTTAGGCCTGTCATACCAATATCCAGATATGTTTAAAAACTGACAGAAGCTGTCAGCTGAGTATGATTGCTTAGGCCTTTGAGTTCCATCATCGTAGCAGTTATCTATATCCATGTACAGTAACTTAGACATGAGGTGCTGCCAAGGGCTTTTTTTCTGGTGTGATTACTCTCTGTTGCTGCAGTTGAATAATTTCAGTTTAAAAGTGATTTGGACAGATGCTTAGTCTAAGTTTCCTAGGTAGTGACTTTCTTACTAGGGGATGGTTTCCTACGCGGCTTCTGAAAGCTTTCTCAAGCAGTTATGTTTCAGGAAGCAAATTCATGTACTCTTGCTTTTACCTCCAGTTGATTTTTTTTTTTTTAATGTATTTTTAGCATGCTGGGAACCTACTCCGATGAGTTTGGAAAACTGGACTTTGAACGTTCACAGCATGGGTCTGGGATGAGCAATCGGTCACAAGCAAAAAGATTTATTTCTGCCCTTAACAGTATTGCAGAGAGAACTTACAACAATCTCTTTGACTTGCAACAGCTTCGGCAGATTGCGAAGGAGCTACAAATACAAGTAAGTTTGGAGATCAAGCATTTCTTCAACAACGAACTTCAAGACCAGTCAAAATTATTTACTGCAAAATGGAAAGTAGAAAAAGCACATCTGTTGTGCCTCTCTGCCATGAACAGAAATAAGAAGTGTTTGCTGCTTTTAGACTGAACACTCTTCCTAAATTGCCTTTCTTTGTCAGCTTTACTAATCTTGCTAGCTGTTTGACAGTAACAAGTCCTTGCACTAGGAAGGGCTGGTTCTACTTCTGAAGCTGGTCTTTTTAACAAGATTCTGCTTTGTTTCGTGAAAGGCAACTTTGGATTCGGTGTACTTGACTTCCTCTGGCTCCCCAGGGGACACACCTGTTTTAATTCTCAAATTTACACTGTTGTGGTGTCCATGTTCTATTTCAGCAGTGTAGTGATACTTCTGTTTGGCCTTCTCT